AGGTGGTGCCTTTATTTATAGAAAAACAAATAAACCATCTCTTTTTAAAAAAAAAAATTAAAGCAAGAATATATCAGAAAACAGACCTTCTTCTCAGAATGGGAGCTGATCGTCCTTTGCTCATATATGAAAAAGCCAAGAACAACTAGTAATGCTGGTGGAACAGCCAAAAGACCTAATGCCCCCTGCAACAACAAAAAAGAAGGACGATCAATAATATGTTTATTTTAAAGACTCAGTTCTTGATTTTAAATTATAGTTATTGATTTTTACAGTATTTTTTTTTATAAATAATTTAAATTTTTAAAATTAAAATTATGAATCACGATTTAAATTTATAAATTAAACGTCTCATTATCAACGGTTGAACAGAAAATTTAAATTCGTCTTTTTGAAAAGGGTGAAAATAAAAAATAAAAAAAAGAAGAAAAATTATACAGTATAGTATGAATATAATTCCTCTCGAAAAGAAAATGCATTGGGAGTAAATGATCGTTTTTAGATTTTTTTAACAAATGCCAAAGTTTTGTAAAATTAGAAAAAATAAGATCATTATTGATTGGTCATAACTTATCACTGAAAATTACACAAAAATGATTATTTTCCTTTAAAAAAAAAGAAAAGAAAGTTTTGTCATTTACCATTTATTAAAAACAGTAGCAAAAAACGGTAATTTGTTTAATTTTTTAAAAGAAAAATAGAAGATACATTTTTCGAAAAGAAAAAAGAAAGGAAAGAAGTCAACCAATGAATTCTCCGAGAAATGAGAATTCAAATAAAACTGGGAACAGGATCTACATTAGTATTAGCAAGAGTTTGTTTACCTGGGGACCAAGATGATGAACGAAGAAGCCGCTAGAAGAGTAGCCGAGCAAAGCCCCGACGGAGGAGCAGAAGCCGCATAGGCTCTGCAAATCGGATGCCAAAGCGCGGATCTCGATGCTGTTCCTCGCGATGCACGCGTCGATCGTAACGTCCGCGATCGCCACCGCCGCCGAAAGCCCCATCAGGCACCCCACCGCCGCCGCCGCCGACATCCCCCCGTCCAGCGCCACCGCCACCGCCGAGAGCGCCCCGACGACGCCGGCGAGGACGAAATACGGACGCCGTCGGAACCCTCTGACCGGGAAAACGTCGGTGAGGAGTCCCCAAATGGGTTTCATGACCCAGGGGATGGTGTAGAGGCCTGAGTAGAGCTGGACGGCGGAGGGCTGGACTTTCTGGACGTCTTTCCAGTAGTAGTCGGAGACGACCTTGAAGAAGGAGCCGGAGAAGCCCTGGTTGAGGCCGTAGACGAGGACGACGCCGGCGACAAAGGTCGGGGAGAGCTGGGAAGACAGCATTTGGAGCCATCGGAAAGGTTCGAGAAAGATTCTGGTTATGAGGAGATGATTGGAATGGTGGTCGTCGGTTTTGTTTGGTTCGTCGGAGGGGTCCCCATCGGGTTCACCGACAAGATTGCGGGATTCGGTTGAATTCATTTCTGGGGTTTAAGGGAGGGGCATATGCATTAGATTTCGGTGGGAGTCGTGTTGATGGATGTATAAAATCAAAGCTTGACGACGTGTTCAATACAACAAGTTTGGAAGTTGGCAGGGGCAGACTTCTCTCCGACATCTTTTCAATTTTTTTAATTAAAAATTATTAAAATTTTTTTTTATAAAAAATATCATATTTTAACTCAAATTAAAAATTATTAGCTTAGCTGTTAAATCAAGAAGCATAGTCAGTACTACTCGAGTAAAATAAAAAAGTATATTGGTTTAGTTGAAATTATACGTGTGCACGTATGACATGACGTATAAATTTTTTTAAAAAAATAAAATAAAAAGAATGTGGGGTTGAATACAATGGTGAAGGAAAGATTATTCTGAAAAGAAAAAAAGTGTAAAATGGTGAGAGCTGAAAAATGAGTATGGATTTCAAGAAAGAAAGGGAATAGAAACAATAATCGAAAAAAATGAAAGAATTGAAAAAGAAAGGGCCAAGTAAAATAAATAAATAAATAAGAAGACGCGCGACTTTGTTTTCCTGGTGGCCATGTGCTCAGATCCATCTGTTTCTTCTTCTATATAAAAGTGCGCTGAAATTCAAGATTCACAGTGTTTGCTTTTTTGTTTGGTTTATTTATTCAGAAATGTCCATTGTTAGGCTACGAGCCCTTTAGTTCATAAATTAAAATCATGATATTATAATTATTTTTAATTTATATGTATTTTTTATGAGAGAAAATATTATAGTAAATTATGAATCATGATTCGAATCAGAGAACGAATCCTCCAACTAAACGGGCTCTACATATCAATTAAAAAAATGACATTAAACTTCAGATGAGGATGGAATGTCGTTCTGAATCGTAACAACAAAAGATTTTAAAAGACAACCAAACTCAGCTTAACGTAACGACAACAAACTTTACAGGATTAGCAAGTGTAGTTTCGAAAACGAAATCAAGCTTCACAACTGTAAGAGAACATGCTGTTTTCCCGTTGAAAGATAACTAATTTTTAACAACCTAGATGTCGTTTTTGATTAACGATATGAAGCTTTTGGAATCGTTTTGTGAATTCAAACAAGAAGATAATTTTAAACCACAATCGATAAGTCATTTCGAAGTTGAGAACAATCTTTACAGAAACAACGACATGCAGTTTTTTATTCAGCACACTTTCATTTTCACGTAACCAATAGGTCCTTGACGTTTCTCTCCTGAAAACGACAACAAAATCAACGTGGGTAAGACGAGTGTGGTGTTTGAATGAGAGAAAACTTACCAAATAATAGTTGTTTTTAAAATAAACCGACGTCAAGCTTTAACGACGAGGAACGCGTTTAGCAGTTCACAGCAACAAAATTTAGTGGAAACAAGACATGTTGTCGTCTTCAAAAACACTTCGTCACCCCATATATATCAAAAAGCGTGTCGTTTATCTTCCAAAACCACAACAAACTACAGAAGGACGACACATGTCTTTTCTTCAATCTATACAACATTTCAAAGCGAAATGTCGTTTATTATTATTATTTTTTGCTAGGTCGTTTATTTATTATAGAGCTTTCAAATAAAAGGAAGGAAAGGAAAGGCATTTTTCAATTTAAACAAGAAGAAAGTTTGAAACGGCAAACACGCCGTCGTTTCAAGCTTCAGCAAAAAGATCATGTTTCTTTTTCACCAAAATCATCAGTAGCAAGCCGTTTCTCTTACAATAGGACAACAAACTTCTCAAGTAAATCCTTTCAAAAAAAAAACTCTCAAGTAAATACGACATGTCGTTCAATGTTTTTAAAAGAATAATACAAACTTCCAAAAAGCAATACGACATGCCGTTCAATTTTCTTTTTTTTCCCCAAAAAAATGAGAATGATGTCTCCATTGAATTACCCTTTTACCCATAATGGTATCTATAAATTATAATTGACTACTCTTCGACCTTCGTGTATATGAGAGAAACATTTTATTTGCAAACATATAAATATCATTGATACTACAACATCTCTTCCCTACAAGAATTTAAAAAGAACCCAAAAAAGTAGTGGAAGGCCTTAAGCAGAGATTTATACACACTAAATAATAATTTCACTCCTCCAGAATACAGGGAAATCACGACCTGTGTGCGCTCATGCTGCAAGTAGCTTCTGTAAGTCCTTCTGCAATAATTTATACAGAAAAAAAATAAGAATAAAAATAAAGATTAGACGAGATACTTTAAACTGCTCCTACTGAGTTCTCCAAACGACACTTGTATTTGCCTTCAAAAGAAAATTCACAATATAAATGCTAAAACCTCAGTCGTTTCGCTCGTTCGAGTTGAGAATTTTATTCGAGTTGAGAATTCGATTCGAGGTGAGAATTCGAGTTAAAAAGTAAGCAAAAAATTAAGTTGTTATTCGAACTAGCGAAACGAACAGGTAAATTTCCACCCACCTAAGCTTGTTCCAAAAGTTAAGTATTCCAAATAGAAGGCAAATCGTACCTCAATTTGAAAAGGAGATGTTGTTGGTGGGTATCTCTCAACAACTTTACCATTTTTGTCCACCAAAAACTTCTCAAAGTTCCACTTGACTACATCACCTAAGAAACCTCCTGCACTTGATTTCAGAAACTGATAAACTGGGGCAGTGTTTGGTCCATTCACATCAACCTGTTGTACACATTTATTAGTCCTTGATTCAAACATCTAAACCAAACAATGTTATTGAGAGGATAAACAGTTGACAAACCTTATCAAATATCGGGAACTCGGCTTTGAACCTTGTACAAGCGAACTGCTTGATTTCCGGATTCGAGCCGGGTTCTTGACCCCCAAACTGATTGCAAGGGAAAGCTAGTATCTCAAATCCTACAATGATGTTGTCCAAAGATTATTAGAAATTTTCTGAATGATTTTCCTAAAATGACAAGTAGATTGTACATATCCCCATTTTCTCATTCCAGCTATAACAATGAAATTGCATAGCTCAAAGTTTAGGATAACAATATAACAAATTTCATGACAGAGAATCAAATTTTGAACTACTTTATAACTAATGAGGTGTAGCATTACCTTGAGTCTTGTACTTCTCATACAAGTGTGATAGCTCAGAGTAATTTGAAGGTGTCAAACCACTGACATTCAAAAAGAATTTGCTCAGTTAATTCACATAATATCAAACTTTCAAAGATAGAGGTTATTCTAATAAGTTATCTTGGTATTAATTAAAATGAAATAAAAACCTGGTTAAAAGCATAATTACAAAAGAAAAGAAAAACTCAGTCGTTAAGGAGGAAATACCATCTTGAAGCAACATTTACAATCAACAGCACCTTCCCCTTGAATTTACCAAGAGAAACATCTTTCCCATCAATATCCTGCATAGAAAATCACCACAAAATAAGTCCCATATAACAAGTAATGTTTATTTTTCTCTTATTCAAGTTTCATTTCGATTGAGTAACAAGTCGGTTTTTGCACCAATCCATACAAAACTAGGTTTCTCAATAAATTAAATCAAACAATAGAGTACAAAGGAACGAGCTTTTTCACCAAACAAATACCTTTACAGTGAAGTCATAGAGACTCTTCTCCGTAGCTGCTCTTGCGTAAATACCCGGAGAACGGGACTTTACGAAAAATCCAGGAAGAACAGATGATTGTAAAGAGAACCCATTACGGAAAAGGGCCGATTTGGAGGAGCCAAGTGGGGATTTGGTAAATGGGATCGAGAAAGCCATGGAAGGCCATAAAGTAGAAGAATTTCGGCTCCCTTTGGCCTGGAAAGAAAAAGTGGTAGAGAAAGGCACCGAAGCCATGGTTTTTTTTTTTTTTTTTTTTTTGGTTCGGTGGATTGGAAAATTCGGAACTGGGAATTTGGAATTGCAGAGTTTAAAGTGAACGCTATTCTAGAATCTAGCCTCCAGAGAGAGAGAGAAGGTTTCCTAGTGACGGGTGTCGTTACACGTGGTCTTTTTGTTTATCAAAAGCCACACGTTTAAACACAAAAATCAACTCTTGATCAATTTTATTATCCAAAAAAAAAAGAAGAAAAAACTCTCGATCAATTTTGAGAATCCTCCAAGAAAAACCCGAAGGGGGGGGAGTGATTGGAGGAACGTGTTTGCCAGTTTGTCTCAATCACTGTTGTGAGTTTGATAAAAGCGGAGCCACATTTTTATTTTATTTTTTTATTATTATTTTTTTACAAACATATATCCTAAAACTGAAGCGGATAAGGTTGTAACATCGGAGAAAATTCTCAAGGCTGATAGATCAATGGAGAGCTGTGGAGTTTTTTTGGGGTGATGTGGTGGTGGAGATAGAAAAGGAAAACGGACTCATATGTCGCGGTGACAAGGGGGCCCCACCACACGACCAAATAGGGAAGGCCTATTACAAGACAAAATTTACGTCGCATGCAACGACAACGGACTATACGCGTTTTGCTTGAAAATATCCAATTAGAGTCACAATAAGAGGAAGCCCTAGGATAGGATGCTATATTACGTGTTTTTAAATGTTATTATATCCAATTAAAGTCACAATAAGATAAAATCATGCGTAATAGACGAATCTTAATAAAGATATATCTGTTTAAAAAAAATAATTGTACAAAATGTCTACATTAAAATCCTTGATCTAAAAGGTAATATACTTTTTTTTTTTTTTTCACACCACTCCATACCCTACCAGATAATACTTGTAAAGATATATGCTCCCTTTAATCTGGCTGAAATACATACTCCTCCTTAATCCTCATTTAGGTCATGCCCATTTTTTCCCTTTTTATATTTTAAATTTTAAACTAATAAATAACACGTGCGAACTCATTTAAAACGAGAAAAAGAAAAAATGACAAAAATAACAAAGATAAAAGCAGAAAAAAATCTAAATTAAAAGATAGGAAAAAACTCAAAAGAAAGAACAAAAAACGTTTTGCTGATGAGAGGGAAAAACACTTTGCAAAACGTTTCACACATTTCCTCTCATGTGCGGAACGTTTCGCCACTGTCCCTTTCATGTTAGGTAAGTATAGATGTATATAGATTAATTATAAGATATAAGATATCTTTTCTTTAAGTTACCCGTAACTAGCGCCCGAGTCAATAATGGGCAGAATCATCCACGGGATGACCATCGGTCGTCTGTGAGAATCCAATTTCACTCTAATGATTCACGCATCATTCATGAGAGTTGTTCATCCAAGTTTCTCAATTGATGACGTTTTATAAAGTTCGTATGTAAAATTCACAATATTGGATTCCATTTTCTCCAACCCTAAGAACGTGTTAAGAAACTAAAGCTAAAAAAAAACTGAACTCAATTTTCTACTTTTTTTTTCCCCGAAAATATGCAGGAATTCCAAGATAAAAAAATAAAAAAATAAAAAATCTATCTCAACTCTCATCTTTTATTCTTTTATACGCATTGCTCCAAATACACACACACACATATGTATACATATTTCTGTTCTGCTATCATCCCTGTAATAATCTTTTGAACATGTCAACAACTAAATTACTGGATTCTTACCTTCTTCAAAAGAAAAACAATACTGGATTCTTATTGTATTTGTCTATCTATTCCCCTTGATAATTTCTAATCAATTAAGACGACAAATATTATTTTGGCATACGGATAAAAGAAGACATGAAAGATATCAATGTCTAACAATATCTACGGCTCTTGAGGTCCAAATATTTTCCCTATGGATAATCTCTTGGTTTTGTCTTTAGCCAAGTAAAATCTCTCTCCTTTTCCCCAACTTCTTCTCCTCTAACTTACTGATGGATTTGGTCTTTTTTGAAATGGCTCTTGTAACGTGCAATTTCGCTTCCTTCTTACTCTCGCCCGACCAAAGAAGTTGGAACAAATTAATAAAGAAACAAGTACTCATGGGAAATGTACGGCAGGCAATTCAATCATACATAGACATGCTAGACAGCGGTTTCTTTGCTGATAATTTCACGTTTCCCATTCTTCTCAAAGCTTCTAACTTTTGTAGTGGGCTTCAACTCCATGGCCAGTCAATAAAATCTGGTTTTTCCGATCACGTTTACGTCCAAACCGCTCTCATAAAGGTGTACTCTGATTTCGGTCAAAACGACAATGCTCGTAAAGTGTTTGACAAAATGCCTCTGAAGGATTCGGTAGCCTGGAACTCGATGTTAGACGCGTATGCCTCCAATGGGCAAATGGGCGTTGCAATGGAACTGTTTGATGCAATGCCGGTTAAGGATGTTTCGTCTTACAATATCGTCGTGTCGGGTTTTGCGGGGGAGAGAAGAATTGAGTCTGCCAGAAAAGTGTTCGATGAAATGCCTGTGAGAGACGTCATCTCGTGGAACTCGATGATATTGGCCTGCGTCAATGCTGGGGATATAGTTGAAGCGCATGCATTGTTTGAGGAAGCACCATGGAGAAACGTCGTTACATGGAACACGATGATAACGGGCTGTGTGCATAATCAACTTTACACTGAGGCCGTTCATTTGTTCAATAAAATGAAGACTGGAAATGCCGACCCGGATTACCTAACAGTGACCACTGCTTTGTCTGCCTGCGCTCATTTAAGGTCACTTGAAGCAGGCGTGAAGGTAGACGTTTACGCGCGAAATCATGGGCAGGCCGCTAGTCCCCACGTAGTTACAGCTTTAATAGATATGTATGCGAAGTGTGGAAGCATACAGAACGCCTTAGAGGTGTTCTTCAAATCCCAGGTTAAGGATATTTACTGTTGGAATGCCATGATCTCCGGGCTGGCTCTTCATGGCCATGGAAATTCAGCTCTGAAGCTGTTCGATGAAATGAGAGAGAGCGGTGTGAAGCCAGATGACGTTACCTTTATTGGCCTGCTTAGTGCATGCAGTCATGCAGGCCTGGTACAAGAGGGGTGTCAGCTATTTGGTTCGATGGAAAGGGATTTCAAAATCAGCCCAAAGATAGAGCATTACGGGTGCATGGTTGATCTTTTGAGCCGAGCCAAACTTCTCAACAGGGCATTTCAATTTGTCGAAACTATGCCTTTTGAACCGGGGGAGTCCATATTGGGTGCTCTGCTTAGTGCTTGTGTGATTCATCAGGACCTTCACACTGGGGAGAAAGTGGTGAAGCTAATATGTAAAAAGGCTAACAATCGCTTGAGTGATGGAGAATATATGATGTTCTCTAACTTGTATGCGTCTTGCAGTCAATGGGAAGAGGCAAATAAATGGAGAAGCATGATGAATGATTCAGGCATTGTTAAGACTGCTGGTTGCAGCACAATAGAGGCTAATGAGAAGTTCCACAAGTTTTTGGCTGGGGAGGTTGGTTTTGAGTTTTGACCAAAAATAAGGATCTGTTTGGTAAAGTTTTCTAGAAGTTGCTTTTGGCTTCATGAGACTAAAAGTTGCTTCTACAAATATTTGGATGATATGTCATAAGTGCTTTGACTCTCTAGAAGAGCTTCCAATCAAAGCTATAAAATTTGACTCCTTAAAAAAACTTTTATGAATAAACTTTTTAACCTATTGGCGAACATAAATAAGACATTTATAAATTTCATTCCAATATTTTTATTGCGTATTAGAAATTGTAAAAATTATTTTGACTCATTTAAGCTCTTTTAGAATATGTTTCCAAACACTTATTGTAAAGTTACAACGTTTACTTCTCTTCTTTTACTGATTAAAATAAAAACAAAAGATATAGTAAACAGAATTTGAATTTGCATGTTACTGAATTTTTTAAAGTGAATCTCACTTTGTTGTCAGTCCTGAGAGACCCATTAATCATTGGCTTAAAGTGGCGAATTTCATGGGAAACTACATACTGCAATGCTCTTCTTACTGTCGACATATATCAACCTGATCTTTAGTAGTGTCTTTAGTGTACGTATCTTTACCTAACATGCCAGAACATTAATGGAATGTTTATTTCAAGAGTTTCTCTCTGGTTCTGAATTATGGTTCTTGATTCTCTACAATGTTTTTCTCTCACAAAAAATTTGAATTTTAAAATTCAAAATCATGAATCATAGTTCTGAACTTATAAACTAAACGTCTCATAAATTCAAGAACAATCTGGAACCTTACTATTTTGATGCCGGAAAATTATTTTTCTCTCACAAAAAATTTGAATTTTAAAATTCAAAATCATGAATCATAGTTTTGAACTTATAAACTAAACGTCCCATAAATTCAAGAACAATCTGGAACCTTACTATTTTGATGCCGGAAAATTTCCATTTACTGTTGTTTATGTCACACATATATTAGGAAAAATGAATAAGATGTACCATATGTTATTGAGCTTTGCAAAGGATACATTAAAAACAACTTTAATGTATTGGAATATTTACTTTTCTCTTAACCAATAAAGTATACCACATTGCCAAAACCACACGTTTCAAACGACAAAGAACCAAATTAAAAATAAAAAGGGTATGTGTTGCAATAGCTTGAAAGGAATTAGGTACATTGTCATTCTTTGTTGCATAATATATATATATACAGAGAAAGGAAAAAAAAAAAAAAAAAAAAAAAAAAAAAAAAAAAAAAAAAAAAGAAAGAAAGAAAGAAAAACCATTATCGCTGCCATCACGACAAATGAACAAAAGCTTTATGTATGTTCTCCATTACAACGTAGATAAAAAGTTTTGGTTACCAATACCAACAAAAAGTAAAGTGTGCCATTACAAGGGAACTTAATCTTTTTCAAGGAATTAGGTAGATGGTCATACTTTGCTGTATAATTTACGAACAGATAAAGGACAAGGGAAAAAGAAAAAGAAAAAAAAAGATTATGGTTATCATTACAAAAGAAGTTATGTTTGCCATTACATTACAAGTTGCATTAAAGCGTTGTGGTTATCCATTTAAAAGAAGAAAAAAAAAAAAAAAAAAAAAAAAAAATGTAACACTTCCAAAAAAAAAAAGTTATGTTCCCCAGCACTTCCAAAAAAAAAAAACAATTTGAGGGGATAAACAATTAATTAGACGTGTTCATGTAAATTATTCCACATTTTATATTTTGGTAAAATTTCCAAGGCAAATTAGAGCTACACTTCCCCAGCACAGTAGCAATAAACTATTTCACATTTAGCCAAAATAAAAATAATAAAAATAATAATGATGATAATAATACTACTAATACTAATAATAATAATCAAATTATGCACTTACTTTAAAGGGAAAAAATACTTTGAAAGATAAGCAGTATTTATGATTGTTTGCCAGTATATTCATGTTAATTATTCTTTACATATAATATTAAATTGATATATCAAATTAATAAATTGTTGGCTGGTTAATGCGAGCCCCTTGTTCAAAAGATTCCTATCACTTTTACACGTGATACGTATCAAAAGGCCCCTTTCTTTTATTGTTAGGATACTGTATATCGAACGCCTGATAATGATGTACAAAACATATACCGGGAAAATAGGAGATCTCCATTTTTTTATTTTTTTTTATTTTTTATTTGGTGGTATTTCTGTTGATGGAGCTGAGAGAGAAATACTACAGCAAAATGTGTTGTCTTGATCATACCCCATACAATACAACTACTTTGCACATCTTTATCTATTCGCTGTCTTGATTGCAATATATTTGACATTTTGGAGTGAATATAATGTAATTTTGTGCCTAGAATTGTGACACATTTTCTTTTAGTTGTTGGAATTTAGAGAAGGGCTATCATATCTGATATCAGGATATGAACTTTCCATTTGCATTGAATGATAGGGTTTGTCAATAATAATTGCTACCGACACATAATTTTTGATTGATTTCTTCAACTGTACTTTTATTATTAAATGCGTAGGTATACTTTTTTTAGGGTTTGTTTAGTTTGTTGATTCGAATTTTTAATTCGAGTTAGGATATGATTTTATGTGAGAATTTTTTACTGTCGCAAAAAAGTTAAATGTGATTGTTTCTGTGAGTTTTTTTATAGCAAAACTTGAATTTTAAACTCAAATCGGTGAAATGAACGAGCCATTAATATATCTAAAATTCTTAATAAATTGGAGATTCGGATCCACTTCCACTATGATGATTCATACCATGATTCATAGCTCGTTACAGTACCTTCTCTCATAAAAAACACACGTAAATAAAAAATAATTCTGAATCATAATTCTAAATCTATAAACTAAACATCTACTTAATTTCTCACCATTTATGCTCATGTCGACCATTTTTTTTAAATCAATGTGGAGAAAAAAATATATTTGTTCTTATTAAGATGATACCGTTTCTTTTACCATTAAAAAAAAAGTTATTTAGTTTTGGTCCCCTTTAATGACTAAAGAACATGCTTGATCAATAATAAAAAATAATAGTAATAAAAAACTTTGACTTGTGAAGTTTGTTGGTCGTTGAATTTATAATAAATAACTCTCTTGTCAGTTGTCAATGTATGTTTCTGAATATAAATTTAATCGAAGTCACACTAATATTAAGAAAACTATAAGATAGGTCATAAATAATAATATTTCAATTAGTTATTTATTCATATCCGATGAACTCTATCTCTTTTTCCCCAAAAAAAAAAAAAAAAAAAAAAAAAAAACTATCGACTGCCAATCCAAATGTTCTAAGGGTCTCAAAAATAAAAGCCTATGGCTGTAATGGGAAACAAAATTAGGCATTACTACGTGCAGGGATTACCATTGCCAAAAGTTTCAACATTTTGATATTGACGTGACAACAACCTTACGACTTGGACATCTATCTATATCTTTGTGAAGGGATAAATTTGATAAAGGGCGTGCAATATAAAATAATAAATAATAAATAATATATGTTCGTGCAAAGATCATTATATTTATTGGCAAGGTCTCTGGTCAGGCATTTGAAAAATACCTGATCAAAACGGCACTTATATATTTTTGTATAAAGTGTGTATATTTATAGTAAGTTGTGTATATTCACACGTAAGTTGTGTATATTTACATGACACTTGTATAATTGTGTAATCGTGTATATTAACATGTAAATCGTGTATATTTACATATAAATCATGTATGTTAAGTTATAAGAAATGACAATGTATATTAATCCTTAAAACATGTTTTTTTATAGCAATTAGTGAACACATAGCATGAAAATATATATATTGACTGATTTATTATATTTCATGTTAAATATACATGACTTTACATGTAAATATACATAATTTACGTATAAATATATATAATTTATACACAATTATACAAGTGCACGACAAGTGCCTGACCAGAGACAATTCGCATGTTTGCCTTATTGGGAAAAAAAAAAAAAAAAGAAAAGGTTGGCGTCGTGTGGATACCAAAAGCTCTAACGAAAGGCCAAGATAATATTGCTTAATGCTTAAGTCATTTTCTATACAACCCAAAAACCTTTTTATCGTTAAAATCAAAGCTAAACAATTACCCAACAGGATGTTCTTTTTTTTTTTTTTTTTTTTTTTTTTTGTCTCCTACTATTTTTTCCAATATATCATTTTTCTTTTTCCTTTTTCTGAAACCTCTAAAAGAATTTTCTCTCTCATTACCCTTTTTTTTTTTTTGGAATTTTCTTTCTTATTACATACTTGCAAGATTTTCTATCCAAAGAAAAGAAGTTTTTCCTTAATTATAAGGAGAATTTTGTTGATAGGGTAAACCTTGTGGATATAATCGTTGATCACCGAATTAAATTTATATACGTATTAATCGTCAGAATACATTAAAATCATATCATATTAAATAAAACATTACAAATTACAACTTAAAACTCACCATAAAAATATAAATACTATAAGTGAAATATTTTTGTCATCCCCTAAGGAAAAATTCTTATAATTATAATGCCAAAAATGACCACACACCATAAAGTAGGTTGGGTTGTGCATTTATTATTGTTAGAATATAAAATTATTATTAGTTCACCTCCTAATAACTTAAACTTAATATAGATTGGTAAACTAATATATGGTATTAGAGTAGAAGATCCCGAGTTTAAACTCTTACAAACACACTCTTTAACCCTATTTAAAATGTCCACGTGCTAGGCCGAACATATAAAATTATTTTTAGCTCACCTCTTAATAGCTTAAGTTTTTTAGATGGATTGGTAAACTAACAATTATGATCAGCTAAAAAAGAGAAAATAAGGCCCCGTTCATTTCACCGATTCGAGTTTTGCTACAGTAAAAAACTCTTAGAAATAGTCACATATAACTTTTTTGTTACAGTAAAAATCTCTCACATAAAGTCATATTTCAATTCGAATCAGTGAATTAAACCGGCCTTAAATCTATGGATATGAATACGAATATCAATAAACTGATCATATTGTGTATGACATACATTAGACAGTTGAATGAGAGCGTTGGTTCTATTGCTCACTGTATTGTTAGATGAGCTTCGATATTTGATTATTCAAATTAAATTGGTTTATTCAATATTATCAATCTATATAAGATTCTCAAATTAATCATATTTAAGAATAATAAGTTCTAAAAAAGAGAGAATAAGTTCTTGAAACAGATAATTACCAGAAAGTAACAAACAACTAACACAATGGCTTGAACAAACAAACATGATCAGAAAGTAACCGCAAAAAAAAAAAAGAGATGTAAATTTGAATATTCTGAATTTGAGTATTTGAAAAACCTTTTAATCAAACTTATCTATAAAAAAAAAAAAAAGAATACAAAAGATAAGGGAATGCCTCTCCGTATGTAATATTGTTCAACCTTTGGTTGGTACCAACATACCAACTAAACTGTGTTAAGCAAAAAAAAAAAAGCAAAACAAAAACAAAAACAAAAAAAACAAAAAAACAAAAAACAAAACAAAACGGTTCTTAACGTTAAAACTGGCAGGCAACGCTAGGCAACTTACAAGCCAAGGCCCAAGTTTAATTCTGCTCAATAAGAAAATTTTTACGAATTCCCCTCAACAATATCACTTGTGTCAATATATCATGTGAATTTTGAAACGTACTTAATATGTTTTTTAAATTTGAAATTCACCCAAAACGTATTTTTTTACATACACTTCCACGCACGGAACACACAAGAAGGTTAAATTTGTCCTTTTATTTTTAGTAGTCCAATTGAATTTGGATTTGTTCTTCACATTTCTCCCATGTTCTCATACTTTTAAGTAAAACATACTTTTAAGTAAAACATACTTTTAAGCAACTACACTAAAGAGAAAATATATCTAAGATTTACTGCGAAACAAATTTATTTTAAGTGAATGCTGTTGCACCTAAGCTTAAAACAAGTAACAACTTCGCAATTCCGTCTAAAACATAAAACATAAATGTTCTTTTGGAGTGTAATTTGAGTGTAGTTTTTGAGTTGAATTTGAGTTATAACTTGAGTTGAAGTTGTAACTTGAATAAAGTTGAGTAAAATTGAATAAAGTTAAAACTTAAAAGAACATGAACTTGAATAAAGTTAGAATTTGAGTTGTCTTTTTTTGAGTTTTTTGGATAAAAGAACATGCCCAAGTTTCAAAGTTTTGGGAGAGGGGCGGGGGATAAATCGAAAAAAGTATTATAAATCATGGGGTGTAATATATACTTTTTAAAGTTTAAGAGACATGTTAGTATATGTGACATAGTTTAAAGGGAACTCATAAATTATCTTTTCTCCAAGCGACCCAACTCCTATTATAATTTTTTTATTGGGGAAAATGAATTTCAAATCACAAATACAAACATAAATGACCCTAAAACATAAGGATTCTTGACTCCGAAAATTAATCTGATATCCCAATAAATTATAATGAAATGCTGAAGGGGCAAAAACATACATTGAGTTTCTGAATTGGAAAACTAATAGGCACACTTAATATCGAGCACACACAATGCTCTTTTAACAAGACCACTGTAGTCGCTAACATCAAGGAACTTATATCACTAAAGCCACCTATAACACTATAGAAACAAATCTATTGGACTAAACATGCAACCTACGATGAAGAGTGGAGAGACCACCATCATTATCACACTACAAAACAACAGACATTGTGAAAACACACAAGCACACAAGCGGCAGGTATCAATATCGTTTTTATTTGATGAAAACAAAAGGAAGGTCTCAAACCATGGAACAAAGCTTTTGATGACAAGACAACTTTCGAGTCTAAATGGGACATATCGAGCATCATTGGAGGAAAAGGAAAATGCCTCGAGGCTTGAGCGAACCGCCAAACCATCAGCGTGTGGGGAGCACAAGACCTCATCGCCACCTCCAGAACCATGCTCCCCACCAAAACCAAATCAATGCAAAGAGGACAAAAACCTCCAAGTTATAGGCCCACCTGTGCTCCGAAATGCCCTCAAATGGCGGTCGAAGTGGCAATCTCCACCCCCCACGCATAACAACTCTGAAACCAGCTCCATCTCAAACTTAAACTCTTTAGACTCTTCCTTAACCACCACCATTAGTCGATCATCAGGGCGCCCAAAGACCTACCTATTAGGGTTGAAATGTGGTGACCTACCCATAAGTGGTAACAAACTCTAACCCTCCCATACGAACTTGTCGAGGGGTGCGCAATAAAAAGAGAAAAAAAGAAGGAAAAAAAAGTCACAAACACTTTTATTATGGGCCTATTTAGTTCGTTGATTTGAGTTTTGACTTACTCATGAGTGGCAACAAACTCTGACCCTCTCATACAAACTTGTCGAGGGGTGCGCAATAAAAAGAGGAAAAAAGAAGGAAAAAAGTCACAAACACCTTTATTATGGGCCCGTTTAGTTCGTTGATTTGAGTTTTTAATTCGAGTTGAGATGTAACTTTATGTGAGAGCTTTTTACTGTAGTAAAAAAGTTAGATGTGACTGTTTCTGAGAATTTTTTACTATAGCAAAACTAAAATTTTAAACTTAAATCGGTAAAATGAACGGAACCTATATTTTTGAATAGACAAATACTCTTATTATAAAGTTAAACTTACACGTAAATTTACGAGAATAAAGTTAACATTTAATAATAGTTTTAAATATATTTTTAAAATTAATAAAAAAATCTAGTGGTATTAATTTTCTTTATTTGTAAAATATTCCAAGTTTTTGTTCGTTATATTTCAACGCCACTAGTAAAATTTTACTATAATGTCTAAAAGTCTAATCATACAAATAGTCTTGATATGAATGGACGATAAAAAATTAAAAACTCGTCCAAGTCTAAAATTGAATATTAAATAGCAAGTATTCGTAATAATAATAATAATAATATAATAATGAATAAATAATAAAGAAATAAAAAAGAGAATAATCAATCAACGTTGAAAAATAAAAATAAAGAAGAAGATTTATAGAAGAGTGGAAAGTGTATACGTGGGAGCGAGAGAGCGGCTTGAAAAATGGTCTCAAAAGTCCAACAGTCGCCGGAATTTCTCAACCCTTAAGCAAGCAGTTAGCCTGATCTAATTTCAGTCTTCCAAAAAGTCGTCTCTCTCTCTCTCTCTCGATATATATATATATATATATATCTGTCTCGTTCCTTACAGATTCCGTGAAAAATATATTCCGGGTCTTCGCTAAACCCGAAAAATACTCGATTTCCAATCCCAAAACCATAACCACCGAAGTTTCTCTTCTCTGGGTTCTGATCTTCACCTCTCTTCGGACGGCCCAACCTGGGATGTAAGTGCTCCTCAAATCGATCCTTTGAAATTTTGTATCATTTCTTTGATTTCTCATTTTTGTTTGCTTCTTTGTTTTTCTTTTGTTTTTGTAATTGTATCGATTATGTAGTTCGTGTCACTTTGAAAATCGAATTTAGCATGTGTGTTTCCCCGAATTTGTATTTGTTAACTTGATATTGATGATTGTTGTGTTTGAATTTGATTAGTTTCATTTGGATCAAGGTTTCGCTCAATTAATTCTTGTGAACTTTTAGCTGATCCCGTTGAATATTTTCCACCTTTTGGATATAAACTATAAAGCTTGTTTCTTTCTTATTTTTAATTATTTGTTTTGTTTTTTTTTTTTTTTTTTGGCTCGATCTGTTCAATACTTTTTTCAGTTTGAATTTCGGTTGTTGAAAGCATAGAAAGTGTGAATTTACGTTATTTGCTGAACAGAAATCGTGGGATTAATGTTTCTGATTGATATTTTTATTGCGTTTATATAGAAAATGGGTATATATCTCAGCAGTCCAAAAACTGAAAAGTTCTCTGAAGATGGTGGCAATGATCGTCTAAGATACGGTTTATCATCCATGCAAGGGTGGCGCGCAGCCATGGAAGATGCTGTGAGTAATTTAGTTGAAATCTCTCCTTTCTGAACTAGAGACTATGGGGTGAAAATGGTTTTTTTTTTTTTTTTTTTTTTTTTTTGTGTTTTATTTAGAGTATAGAATTAAGCTCTGCTTTTTTTTTTTTTTTTTTCTATCTACAATTCGCTCCTCCCTCATGTTACTTATCCACGTCTCATTAGTGGTCCCTCAGGACTGTGGGAGGTAGTTTTAAAAGTTAATTGATCAACAAGCTCTTTTTTTTTGTGATATTCATTTAACTTATCATTTCTCTTTATCATGCTTGGTTACTGCTTTTATTTCTTTTGTTTAGCATGCCACATATCCTGATCTGGATGCATCTACTTCGTTCTTTGGTGTTTATGATGGCCATGGAGGTAAGAGTTAAAATATTAGAATTTTGGATATTCCAATCGTTGCCAGATTACCATTTATTATCAGTGTAAGGAAAAGCTGTTTTGCCATACATTGTTGGATGACCTCTTGAGACAGTAGTTTCATGATGGCAGTACACAAGATTGCTAATAATTAGACGCCATACTCCTTTGTTACCGATAGCAATAAAATTGAAGAAAATAACAAACAAGTATACGCAATCTTTATAGTAGTTCACTCACCCTTAATATGAGAGCTACATTCACTTTCAGTCTGCACAAAGTTTCATCATCGCGAAGAAGAATATTACAAGAGAAATCACATACCTTACTCCTCTCGGACTCTCCTTGCTCATCTCTCTGACCTTAATCCCAAAATTGGAGCCCCCAATATATGTAAAACTAGGGCAATTGAAAATACAAATGTGAAAATTCCATAGTACCCTAAGTAAAATTTTTGTCTACCCACATGCTGACTCTACATCAAGGCGACAATTAGGTTCACAGACTTAACAACCATAAAGCCTAGAATGATTGTCGCACGGTCTAGAAAAATTCCGGCCAAACATTTTATTATCTGAGCCAAATTCTTCAATTTTCCCTATCCCCCCCAGCACCTTTGGAACTGCATCACCTCACTTATCTTTGCTAGCTTTCTAATGCATGTGAAAATCAATAGCCTTTCTTCAAATGATGCTGATGGGACTTGGGGAAAAGTTGATGACATTTATCTCAAGTATTCCTTTTGATTTTAAAGGAATATAGTAGTTGTTTTCATGTGCTGTTTCTTTTCTGAAGGCAGCCCTCTCTTCGCTGCCCCTCCTTTTTCCCTCTCAAGGCGTATTCCTAAATAGCTCACGGCATTCTGAACAGAAAGTCCCTTCCGCATGTCATGGAACCAACAGTGTATATATATATATTAAATATGTTATCAACAGCCTTTTCTTTTGATACACTATTTATTCAAGTCCTTTAACTTTTCAGGTAAGGTGGTTGCAAAGTTCTGTGCTAAGTTTCTTCACCAGCAGGTGCTGAAGAATCAAGCATATGCGGCTGGAGATATAGGAACTTCCGTTCAAAAAGCTTTTTTCAGGTCAGTGTTAATAGTACAGAATTTTTTTTTTTTTACTTCCCTTTGCAGCTCTTCTAATTTATTGAGGTGGTTACGAAAGTAAGCATATGCTATATGCGTCTAGGAGTATGTGTCACTAGCCGCGTTGTATATGCCAAATTCGCAAAAATACATGTGTGCTTCTTGTTTTTCAAGAATCTTTGGGCCCGTTTAGAAGGTATACTCAAATCATGATTTTTTATTCTAACGTTTGAAATTTAAAATTTATGTGAGAGGAAAACACTTTAGCAGATCAATGATTTGATTTTGAGTATATGATACAGACTGGCCCTTTGAGTTTAGTAAAAAGGACGTTGATGTTTTAATTAAAAGGTGAACAATCTTATAGAGAGTAACTTTTACCATTGGCAGATTGACGACTTGTCTCAAGGAGGTCAATTTTCCCTGTGGTCTCCAAAAAGGTTTCCAATAAGCCTCAGAGTTCTGATTATCTTTTGGAAAATTCAGATACTGAATAACCTCCTACACTTCCAAAATTGTCATATTGTGTCTTTTCCCCCAATCCTCTTTTCCTAAGAGAGTGGAAAATACTTTTAAATAATTTTTTATCTTCTTCACTCTCATTTTAAACTAATGACTATATGCTCTTTATGATTACCAAATATTTGTCTAAGATAGGTAGTATTAACATAGTAACTTATACTTCCATTCACTTGCTAATTGTAAAACCAAACCCCCTCCCTTTTTTTTTTTGGTGTCAAAATACAAACAAAATATTATATATATATATATATATTTTCCCTATAAGCTTGTCACATGTTGGTCCTCTGCTAAAACTATATAAATGCTGGTTATGCAGAATGGATGAAATGATGCGAGGGCAAAGGGGATGGAGGGAGTTAGCTGTTTTGGGAGATAAAATAAATAGGTTCACTGGCATGATAGAAGGGTTGATCTGGTCTCCGAGGAGCAGTGATAGTAATGAACAAGCAGACGACTGGGCCTTTGAGGAGGTAGTTCCTAAAAGCCAACATATTTTGCAAGTTGTTGTCTTTATGAAGGACGGTGTTCTTTTGATCCATTTTTTCATTATCTAATGGAATTCCCATTAATGATCTTAATGTTACTTTGACAAACTACACAATAGAGTAATCCACTCTTTTAAAAACTCGCATTTTCTTATGAAATTCACTAACACATCACTTGCGGCATGTTGTTGGACTTATGATCCCCAGAGTTTGGCAGACAATTCGTATAGCAAAAAATTTACCCGATTGGACATCTGTGTTCTGCATATGCATAGTGTATCATTCTTCATCTTAATTTGAAGTTCTAAATTATTCAATTCCTTTGATTTAAGCTATTCTGAGCATGTTATGATAGACATATCACGAGCCATCTCCTTAACTATCTAGACATATCATGAGCCATCTCCTTAACTATCTTTTGTTGTGATTACCTTAGTACACCCGATGGTGATTTTAGTCCTTCTGTGCGTGGAGAAATTCAGAAACAAGCCTTAACTTGGATGAGAATAGATGCATTAGGTCATAGTTAATACATGTGGTGCCCTACTTTTCTCAAATTTGACATTTTCCTTTTAAAAGTACGTAATTGAGAAATTATCATCGTGAGCAGGGGCCTCATTCTGATTTCAGTGGTCCAACTTCTGGGAGCACAGCCTGTGTTGCTATTGTAAGGAACAAGCAACTTGTTGTTGCAAATGCTGGTGATTCTCGTTGTGTCATATCCAGAAAGGGGCAGGTACTATTTCTGTGGTCTTAAAAGCACCTCATTTCTTCCATATTTGTTTTTGAATGGATAAAATGCATCATGTTTTGAGTGCATTACTATATGGTTCTGATTTAGCTCGAGTTTTTGCATTGTCTTAACTCTCAAGCACCTTTGCACGATTGAGCATATGCTTTATTCTGCCGAATATCGTCTTCTGTTTCTTACTCTGGCTTTTCTTTGTCAGGCATACAATCTGTCTAGAGATCACAAACCCGATCTTGAGGTTGAGAAGGAAAGGATTTTAAAAGCTGGTGGTTTCATTCATGCAGGACGTGTTAATGGAAGTTTAAATCTTGCAAGAGCTATAGGTAAATTACCTGGACACCACTGGGAAAATACATTTTACTTTTTTTTTTTTTTTCCTAATTGAGTGGAACATCAATTTTTTTGGTCGGGCTTCTCTTGTTAATTTCATGGTATGATTTTGTTTATGCACTGTAGGGGACATGGAATTCAAGCAGAACAAGTTTTTGCCTGCTGAAAAGCAAATTGTAACTGCCAATCCAGATATAAACATTGTAAGTAAATAAATGTCCACGGTTTGACAAAATCATGGATTCATGTTTAATAATTCTTCCCTCTTTTTTTTTTGTTTGTTCTGAATTAGGTTGAGCTCTGTGACGATGATGAATTTCTGGTGCTAGCATGCGATGGTGTCTGGTATGTATCTTATGCTTTTCTATGAGAAAGTTTGTTAAATTTGTTCCTGAGGTTTTTTTTTTTTTTTGGATGAGTAGTTTTCTATGTGGTCTATACCTATATAAGCGTGTCATAACATTGTGATCTCTTTCTCGCTTTTCATTGTTTATTAATGGTTCTAAGCACTTGGTAGGATATAATTTATGTTGAAAAGTATTATGAACGATGATGATTGATGTTTTCGTTAATTGCAGGGATTGCATGTCAAGCCAACAACTTGTTGATTTTATACATGAACAGCTACACTCTGTAAGTTCATCCTTTAATTCTTTTTTTCTTCTCAAACATGATAAACAAGTTCGGCTGTTATTTCCTCCTCTTTACACGAAGCCGAGATAACTAAATCTGATTTGTTGATTGTAGTCTTTTTCTGAGAGTAGCTTTGGGAGGACGATAATTTTTTTTTTTGTCTACTGTCTGACTGTTGTCGTTTTCTAGTGTATTGTCGTTTTATATATTGTGGTTTCTTTCATTGCCGTCTATCCTTGCCTTCTGTTGTCGTTCTAAATGTGTCTGTCGTTATTCTTCTGTTGTCGTTTTTAAGTGTTGCTGTCGTTTACCATTTAGTTCTCGTCTTTTGTATACTGTCGTTTTCCACTTCTGTTGCCTGTCGTTTTCTTTTGTTGTGGCTTTTTATATCTTTTTCTTGCGGTTTTTGTTAATTATTTTTAGTCGTTTTTTTTTTCTGCTCTTAACTTCCTTTTTGTTGTCGTTTTTTAATTGCTTGTGATGTTTTAGATGTCCCCTAATCTTTACTTTACTTGGGTCGTCGTTTCATTTACTGTGATTTTCATTTTCTCTTTTCTTGTCGTTTTAAAGTGTGTCTCTCGTTTGTTCTTTTATTGTCGTTCCAATGCTTTCTATTCGTTTCTCTGATGGCCTCCGACGCTTTTCTTTGACATTTACCTACTGCACAACAGTGGGCAGTAGCACTGCTCGTCCAGTATGGGTTAACTTATGGACCTCCTAGTTTCTCTCTTGTAGTGCTAGGGACCAGCAGTATTGGGTATCGAAATATCTGATTCACTAGTGAACCTTGCACTTTTCTCTCGTACCTGGCACCACTAATGATTGGTTCTTTCGACGCCTGACATTAGTAAATCATGCAGGAAAACAAGCTCTCTGCGGTGTGTGAGCGAGTTCTTGACAGGTGCTTGGCACCGTCAACAGCTGGCGGTGAGGGGTGCGACAACATGACCATGATCTTGGTGCAGTTCAAGAAACCTATGCAGCCAACTGCAGATGAGCAGCAATCCTCACCGTCCACTGAGTCGAAACCTGCTGGGGACTCTGAATCAAGCTAGTTGCTGCACTCTACCCACAAAGATCACATCCTTCAAACACAAATATCCCTGGTTAAACAAGATTACGACTACTCTCAACTCCCACTTATTGTCGTTTCTCGGTTCTTTAATTGTAGATGGTGCAACATGAAAAGGGTGGATTAGCTATTAGGGGGGAGAGATTCGTTTTTGTGCTCATTGTGTGTTAGTTTTGGAAGTAGTACTACAACATCACAACTTGAGTTTTTGTACAGATGATTTTAACCCATAAGGTCTTTGAACAGAGCTTGTGCAGAAAAATTCATCAAAAGTTTCCTCCATTCATCTCCTAGCCATGTGTTTTACCTCTATGTCGCTAAGAGTACTGCACTAAGGTTTGGGTAGTTCTTCTAATGTTGAAATTCGTAAAATAACGGACTAGCAAAAAAAAAAAAAAAAAAGAAATCGTAAAATAAAGAAAATTTAGGATATATAAATTTAATAGGGAGGAACATGGAAACTACAATACTGAAACAAATATCTCATTCCTCTAAATAGTAGATTAGTAGATAGATGTGATTTCACAGGTCAGTTCCAAATGCGAGAGAGAAAAAAATAATAACCAACAAAAGAGCAATGTACGTGTACGTTACTTTGTTCGCAGCCATATTTTGAACAAGTGAGCAAAAAATTACATATTAAGTTGGTCCTGGATAAAATTGACGAGTTCTTGTCCGCTTTTAAAAGCTTGAGCAAGTTTTTGCACTACTTGGTCCATCAATTATCCGTTCACTTTTGTTTTGTGTTTTGTAGTGTTTGTTTTTGTTTTTGTCTTTTAAAGTCCCGGATTTAAATTTTTAATTTGAGCTGAGATGTGATATTTTTTAAGAGCTTTTAACTGTAACAGAAAAAATTAGATGTGATATTTTTTGAGAGTTTTTAAGTGTAAAAACTCAAATCGGTGAAATGAACGAAGCCTAAATTTTTACGCTAATATAAATTAAGTCCAATAGCAATTATAAAGTCACATTATTCATCGTTTAGACTTTTCTTTTTGTGGTTTGAGAAATTCAAAATGACAAAAAGTTGATTTCAAAAAGTTAGAATAAAGTTTATAAAATCTAAATTCTCATAGTTTCAGTGTCTTCTTAGAACAGTTTTTATTTTTATTTTTTATTTACTGAAGTCATATTGACTTTCGCTAGAAGCTGTGAAGCGTAAAAACAGTTCTTGAACTATTTCCATTTTTTGAACTTAGGAAGTTAAAAAGCAACTTACCATATCTGAATACCAACCCTTCAAAAATGGTAATCTTCACCCGGTAACACGTTCCTAAAGGTCTTCTGGATATTTTAATTATAGTGTTTTTGCATGGCAAAAGAAAGAAAGGCAATTGTCATCCTTGTTTGGAAGCAATTTCTAGAAGGTCAGAGAATTACCATCGTCTTGTAGTTAATTATTACAGAGGAAAGACATTATATGATGGCATTGGTAAACAACAAGAACAAGGGCATTAACTTCAAATTTTACCAATGATCTGTACCTCACCAATTCCTTAGCTTTACTTTAATGACATAGGCACTACCTGTCCCTACTACCACAAACAAACGTAACAACAATTTCTAGCCACCAATACTAGGCTCCCCCCAATCGCACAACCTAAATTCTAATAATCCTTTTTTTTTTTTTTTTTTTTTTTTTTTTTTTAAAAAATATAAATTAGAAAGAAGAAAGTCAGAGAGATAGACGAGAGAGAGAGAGGGAAAGATGATTTTCTTTGTTTTTTTTTATTATTTTTTATATTTTCAAAGAGTATAAGCGTAATTGCACTTTTAATTCTCACTAAATAAGTGACATGTGCAATTTCTATCACTCATTGTAACAGAAGGGGAAAACTTGTTAACGGAATAAAGTTTGAGGGGAGCGGATATTACGTTTTAAAATTTGAGAGACAAAGTGTTACAAGAGTCATAGTTCAGAGGGAATTTTTGAAATTAATCTTTTTTTTTTTTTTTTGCATTGACGTTTTGTTTTTAACATCTTTCATTTTAGTACTCAAATGACCTGCACTTGTTTAAAACTGCTAAGAAAAGTGATGTTTTCATTATCGGAAGTATCAAAAATACGGTTGTTGATAAGCTTGGGGTCAACTTTGTGTGATTTTTAACCGTATGGACAGAGTAAGGCGATCCCAATTCTTCGATGGCTAGATTTTTAAGCTAACCCTTTGTATCTTTTACTGTCGTTTTATTTTTTTTAATCGTTATTAATTCTTTGTCGTTTTCATGTTAGATGTCTTTTATTGAATATTTTGTCGTTTCTTTTTTAATAAATCCTTACTTTTGTTGTCTTTTTCAATTGTTTGTCTTTTTTCTCTTCTGACTTGATTGCTTTTCTCACTATTAGAGGTGAAGCTCAAGTCGGGGGTTAGGAGTACACAGAGGACGGATTGGGCCGTTTAGGAGGTTTTGTTTTATGGCGGTTTGTGAAAGTTCTAAACTATGTGCCCAAAGTTTAAATGGTTTGGACGGTTTTTTAAGCTCGCAGCTTGAACGACCTATTAAAATTGAACGGTTTAATATTTGTATCCATCGTTTGACATTTTTTTTTATATTAAAGGTTTAAAATTCAAAGTACTTGATATATATAGTCAATAAAAACTAAATATGACGATGGATAAATAATTATTGTTAAACTCATAAACATAATTTGGACTAAGTATGTCAATGAAACATTAAAAGTTCAAAATCATATTGTAATTCAAAAATCAAAAGCACAACCCAACACATAATACAAATTCCAACGTCCAAAAATCCAAATCCTAATAAAGAAACATCCAAATTCAAATTTTAAAATTCATTATTCAAGTGCTATAAAAAAATCCAAACTTTTAGGAAAGATCATATATAGTTGAAGCAATCTTGCACTAAAAAAAACATATTTATTACTAATATTGAGGCGGGCGGTGCGGTTTCAAACTGCGGTCTTAAAGTCTAATCTGCAACTGTCCGCTAAAAATGACAGATTGAAACTGCCCCGCCCGCATGAAGAGTGGTTTTTGCGTATACCCGCTTAGGGCAATGCGGTGAGGTGCGGTGCGGTTAGGCAGTTTACGGATATTTTTGTGCAGCCTCTTGAGGGGCAATTTTGTGCAATTTTCAATTATAGGGAACAAATGAGACAACCCCTGTCCTTTAAGATCAAATATGCAATTAACACAAATATACGCAAATAAGTAAATAAATTCTTTGAGCAACAGTTACTGATGAAATCTTGATCACGCATCTAAAAGTTACTATCCCAAAACATGCTGAAAGAACACAAAATTTAGGCTTGTCCATGCATGTGGGTCTAATAGTGAGGCGCCAATGGGGTGGGTCAGGGGGACATGGTCCGTTTCGTTTCCAAACCATCATGTTTGTCAAATTGGACCCTTTTTGATAATTTGGAATATATATATATATATATCGGACCAGACCGCTCTATGTAAGGAGATCTGATCGGACCCTTCTATGTAATTTTATCCTTAAATTATTTACAAAATTTGGATAAAAATGCAAGAAGGAGAAAAAATACAATCTATATTTATTATTGTAACCTAATGTTCTAACAATTATCCTAATTACCATTACTTTTTGTATTGTAAATCCTCATAATACTATTAAACTATTATCTTATCCTTAATCTACTTACAAAATATTGGATAAAAAACCAATATATATATATATATATATTTACGATCTATATTTAATATTGGAATAAAACAATATATTCCAATTCTTGGCACTTTATTATTCATTTTCATTTTATTTTATTAATTTTGACACTTATTTTTAATTTTCTACAAAAATAATTTCAAAACTCTTATTTATTATTTTATCGCCCTAGTATATTATAATAATCATTTCAATTATGATTCACACCATTACTATAAGTATTAATCTATTGTCTTTATTTTTTGAAAACACAAAATTTACTCAGAGTATACAAATATATTTACAATAGTTCATTCTGATTACGAGTAAAAGTAAATAAATTAAAGCCATTGCAGTCCTCTCCTCCCACTATGAGTTAATTTGATGTCGTCTGGCCTGTCCTCCCGTCGCTGTAGCACTCCCATAATATATATCTCGACATCGCTGCTCACACCTTTGACATATCTCTATTGAAAATTTCAGGTGAAAAATTAAAAGAAAATTTTGTAAAAAGAAAAAGAAAACTGAGGCAAAAATTTAGCTTGTTTGCTTCATGAACTCTTTACTAATGTGTTTTTTCTTGTAAAAATTTAAATTTTAATTCAAATTTTTTAATTTGAAGGCATGAATAAATAACATTTTTTTTTTTTTTTTAAAGGAGGACATAACATGTGAACAAGTGAGGATTTGACCAGTTTAAATATTAAACATCTCCACATAATAAAATAAAAATCAGTAGACCTGAGACTTTCACGGATAATTATTAATTAGGATTAATTAAGAAATAAAGGTTTTGAGTATCCAATTATCCATAGTGACTGTAGTGAGTGAGTAGAATCTAACGCCCCCTGCAGGCCCCAGAAAGCCACCGGCATTTGATAAAAGTGCTCCACAAAATCCAAGAGATCCCTAGAAAAGACACTTGCCGCTTAATTCTTCAATGGTACCAAATTCGAGTCAAAAAGTTGAATAATATTATTATTAGTGTCTTTCTTAGGCATTGTTATTTGGCACTGATTTTGGTTGATCTAGTCAATAGGAAAGATTTGCGACGTTACTTGTTAATTTTGTTTGTGTATTGCAGCTGTTTTCCTCATTTGCGCTTTCTTCTTGGTCCAAATTATTAGTTTTAATTTTATCTATATGGGATTAAATACCTTTATAACAAGACACATACAAACACATATATGTATACTTGTGTGTGCATATAATATACGTATATGTATGATCCATTGTCTCTTTCCAATAAAATGGGATCGATGTACCTTAGCAAAAAAATAAAAAAAATAATAATAATAACAATAAAAAGGGGATCGATGTATGCTTGGTCCTAGCTAGCTAATTATAGTTAATCTATATATACTTGTATATCCTATATAAGCTCAATGCGACCCTAGGAACTGTTGTCTTTTTCACAATCGTTAACATTAACAATATTATTATATTGTTTTTTTTTTTTTTTTTTTTTTAATAAAAAAACGTTGTTCTATAAAAAAAAAATTAAAGCAAACATTGTCGGTTGGGCAAAGGTTTTTGTTCTCGTTCAGTGAACCAAAATGACGATTATGACTCCATGGACTTGCATATATTATACAATTTAAAATAATGAAATAATTTACTTATAATGTACTCGACTTGAAAAGGAGTGTTCTGT